CCAAAATTACCCCAAAATTACCCCAAATTACCCCAAAATAACCCCCTGGAGCTGGCTGAGCTCATGGAGGAGCAGGGGTGAGAGAACTGACCCAAAACTGGCTAAAATCACCCCAAAACAACCCCCTGGAGCTGGCTGAGCTCACGGAAGAGCAGGGGTGAGGGAACTGACCCAAAACGGCCCAAAATTACCCCAAAATATCCTCCTGAGCCCCCTGGGTGCCCGGAGCTGGGCTGGGGGGAGGGGCGGGGCTGAGAGCCCCAAACCAGCCCGAATTTCGCCCAAAATCCCCTCCCCCCCCAGGTACTCGGGCGAGGAGATCGAGGCCAAGGTGGCCACGTTCCGGACGATGCTGCTGGAGAAGGACGAGGGGCCCGGGGACCCCGAGCAGAAACCCACGTGAGCCCCCTAATTAACTCCTAATTAACCCCTAACGAACCTCCCAGCCTCCCTAATTAACCACCGAGCCCCCCCTAATTAGCCTGGAAGGGCGTGGCCTGGAGGGAAGGGGAGGGGTTTGAAGCTGAGGGGCGGAGCTTAGAGGGGAAAGAGGTGGAGTTTGGAGGGAAGGGGTGGAGTCTTAATTAATTACTTAACTAATTAACTCTTAATTACAGTGTAAGGAAAGGGTGTGGCCTGAAAGGAAAGGGAGGGGTTTGAAGCCGAGGGGCGGAGCTTAGAGGGAAAGGGGAGGGGCCTGGAGAGACAGGGTGGGGTCTTGATGAAGTAGGACCCGCCCCAATTAAGTAATTAACTCCTGATTAGCCCAGAGGGAAGGGGCGGGGCCTGGAGGGAAGGAGGTGGAGTCCGGAGGGAAGGAGTGGACTCTTAGTTCGTTAATTGACTAATTGACCCTTAATTAGCCTGAAAGGAAGGGGCGTGGCTTGAAAGGAAGGGGAGGGGTTTGAAACCAGGAGGTGGAGTCTGTTTAATTCAGTTAATTAACAACCCCTAATTATCCTGAAAGGAAGGGGCGGAGCCTGAAAGAAAAGGGAGGAGTTTGAAGCCAAGGGGCGGAGCCTGGAGAAAAGGGGAGGGGCCTGGAGGATTGGGGCGGGGTCTGAATGAGTGGGGGCCTTTTTCCTTAATAAGCTAATGACCTAACGAGCTAATTACCCCTAATTAGGGTGACAGAGACCCACCAGCTGGCTGAGGCATTTGGGGGCGGCCTAATTAATTAATTAATCTCTAATTAATCTCTAATTAATTAATTAATTAACTATTTAATCTCTAATTAGCCCAGAGGGGAGGGGTGGGGCCTGGAGGGAAGGAGTGGACTCTTTATTAGTTAATTAATTGACCCTTAATTAGCCTGAAAGAAAGGGGCGTGGCCTGAAATAAAGGGGAGGAGTTTGAAGCCAAGGGGCGGAGCCTGGAGAAAAGGGGCGGGGCCTGGCGAGATAGGGCGGGGTGTGGACAGGCAGGGGGCTCTTTTTCATTAATGAACTGATGAACTAACAAGCTAATTACCCCTAATTAGCGTGACGGAGACCCACCAGCTGGCCGAGGCCAACGAGCGCAAGAACGAGCGACTGCGGGCGGCCTAATTAACTAATTAACTTCTAATTAGCCCAGAGGAAAGGGGTGGGGCCTGGAGGGAAGGAGTGGACTCTTAATTAGTTAATTAATTGACCTTTAATTAGCCTGAATGGAAGGGGTGTGGCTTGAAAGGAAGAGTTACTTTTAAGGCAAGGGGCGGAGCCTGGAGAAAAGGGGCGGGGCCTGGCGAGATAGGGCGGGGTGTGGACAGGCAGGGGGCTCTTTTTCATTAATGAATTAATGAATTAATGAGCTAATTACCCTAATTAGGGTGACGGAGACCCACCAGCTGGCCGAGGCCAACGAGCGCAAGAACGAGCGGCTGCGGGCGGCCTTCGGGATCAGCGACTCCTACGTGGACGGGAGCTCCTTCGACCCCGCCC